TCTATAAATCATTGAGCAAGCTCTTCTTTTCTATTCTCTTTAATTTTGGTTTTATGATTGTAAAAATGACAGAATTTTTGGAACTCCAATTCACTCCCCTCTTGGAGTACATTGAGTCAACAGGACATAATTTGAAATTTTTATTTATTTCTTTGGAGCTTTTGCATGATTACATTCAACTGATAATCATCAACCTTGGATGGTAGTGGAATTTTGAGTCAGCAGAACCAAGAATCCGGAGCAGCATAAAGCACGCATTACTCATATTAAGGAACAAAATCCTCAGAATCTGGCCTGGGAAAAACATTAGTTCATGATTGATCATATTGGCTACATGCAAGACTACAATCCAGAAGGACCAGAAGTATTCTTTACATAAATTACTCGACTTACTGATTTATAAGAATAGTGAAGAAGAGGGAGTAAAGGGAGAAGATGAAATCTCTTGCTTCAAGATAAGAAAGGAAACCATTATTGTTGCATATATGTTGATGAGTTTCGAGTATAACAGCAGGGAACTTTCCATTGTCCAAAATTTCTGCAGTAAGCAGAATAACACTGCACCGTTAAGGGATTACGAAGTGCACTGGCATTTGATGAGTAACAAATGACGAATCTGTATAGGCAAAAGCAAACAACAAGGGGAGTGTGGTTTCATCTTGACCAGAAAGTTTTATTGGGTTTTCTGCCGTCCAAAATGCTGCCAAGGGTGGTCAATGCATCTTCAAACTTGTGAATTTTAAGAAAGCCTCTTATCATGGAAACCTTGCTGTCCGAGCAGTTTGCTTTCTTCATTATCATATCAACAAGTTTTACTAAGGTGTCTTCCATATATAAAGCACATAGTCCTTCAGCTAGCATATAGAATGATGAGAATTCCGGTAAAAATCCTTTCTCAACCATCTCAACCACAAATTTAACAGCTTCTTGTATTGGTCTACCTCCACTACAGAGCCCACGGAAAACAATCTTATATGTGACAGCATCTGGTGGATCACCCTTCTCCATCATTTCTCTGAAAAGCCTCATGGCTTCATTAGTTCTTCTCCATCTAAATAGTGTTTGAATAACAGGGTTATAAGCATGTGGGGTCAAAGCCATTCCTTTCATTTGAACAGTTATAAGGAGCCTTCTTGCGACCTCAACTCTACCTGCCTTACAAAGTCCCCCAATCAGGGTTCCATAGGTAACAATATCAGGCTTGCACCGATTGGAACTCATAGTCTGCACAACGTCTGCTGCCTTTTTTATATCCCCAACCCTACAAAAGTACGTAAGCAGAGAATTGTATGTGAACTTCTCAGGCTTCAACCCTTCCATTAACATCTGGTCCATTAGCTGTGCAGCATCCTCTACCCTTTTGCTCTTGCAAAGACCAGCAATAAGGGTGTTATAGGTCACTGAATTTCTTGAAACTCCTTGAAGCTCCATTTCATCAAAGATCTCCTCTGCTTCTTCAATCCCCTTGTTTTTAATAAATCCATCAATCAAAGTATTGTACGTGACAACATTCCTAGCACACCCACTCAATTCCATTTCTTGGAGCAAGCTTAAGCCCTCTTCCATTTTCCCTCTAGAACACAGAATGTCAATCAACATATTGTAAGTATATTCATCAGGCTGGCATTCTTTGTTCTTCATCTCCTCAAACAATTCCATAGCGCTGCCATGGTTTTTTGTCAAGCACAGATCTTTTATCAAAGAATTCAACGTACAAACATCAGGTACAATTCCCTTACTTGTAAGAACACGAGCAAGTTTAGTAGCCTCTTCAACTTGGTTCTCCTTGCCCAAGGTGCTAATCAAAGTATTGTACGTAACAGTGTTAGGCGAAGAGTCCCTCAAAACCATCTGATTCAGAATCTCAACTGCCTCCTTAACCTCACCCATTTTGCACAATCCAGAAATCAAGGAGTTGTAGGTAAATATATCTGGATCAAACCCTTCTCAAAGCATCAGGTCCATGACCTCCAGAGCATGCTTAACATGCCCCAATTTGCACAAACCATTCACCAATGAATTAAATGTGAATTGATCAGGATAAAATCCCTCATTCGACATCTCTTGAATAAAACTCATTGCCTGCTCAATTCTACCCTCCTCACAAAACCCATGAACCGAAACATTAACAGTAACATTAGTAGCTGCACACCCAACTTCCCTCATGTACTCCCAAATCCTCAATGCACCATCAAAATTACTCTCCTCAATAAACCCTTGCATTAAAGTAGTAAACGTTTTCTCATCTGGGGTTAAACCATAACTAGACATCTCCTCCATCATCAAAACTGCAGGCCTAATTTGATGAGCTTTACACGAAGCCTTTATCAATATATTAAAAGTCGAAACATCAGGCTTAATCCCTCTATTGACCATACCATTATGTGCAGTCTCTACTAATTTCAGCTTATTCCCATCAACAAGAAAATTCAATAGTGAATTATAAAAATGGGTGTCGGGCTTGAACCCGAACTCACTCTCCATCAACTCAACGACACCCAAAATTTCATTATACAACTCATATTTAGCGTAGTTCTCAATGAGAATCAAGAAAGCACCTCTAGTAACTTCACAACCCGAGAGCTTCATCTCTTCCAGAATACCCTCAACCGTGTCAAAAGAGCCGACCTTTACCAGTTTGCCAAGAAGTGCTTCGTAAATGGGGAAATTGGGGGTAAAATCTGGCTGCTTTGAAGCCAGCTTGTATAAGCGAAGGGTGGAGGATTTGTCGGTTTCGCGACTGAGGGTGTCGAGGAGCTGGGTTGGAGCTAGGTTCTGAGAAAGAGAAGAGTGAGTTTGGGTTTGGTGGTGCTGTGGGGAGGCGAAGGAGATGGCGGAATGTGAAGTGGATTCGCAGGGATGAGACACAGAGGGAAACCACGGGTAACATTTCAGACACGAAGTGAGAGCCATTTTTGCGGTCACTTCTAGGACATTGGCGCAGGTGGTAGTCCCCTTTAAGGAGAAAA